TGCATTAGGACGTTTCTGGTTTGTTTTAGGGAATTTGCGGTCTGCATAAGAAGGTTTTTGGTATGTATTAGGAGATTTCTGGTGTGCTTTAGAAATAAGTGTGGTTTGCTTCGTGAGGTTTCTGGTATGTTTTAGGCGATAAGTGGCCTGTATTAGAAAGTTTATGGCACGCTTTAGAAATAATTATGGTATGCTTTATGACATTTCTATTACGTTTCATGAGATTTTTTGTTTGCATTCGACGATTTTTGGCGTGCATTCCAATGAACTTGAGGATCGGAACTCATAAAAATATGGCCACTTTCAATGATTTCAATTTGATAAAGAGAGAAATAAGATTGATGCTCCAAAAATACAATTGCATCTCAAAAGCTACATAGAACAGACCACAAAACAGCACTATCACATCCCAAAACTGCACTATCAATTGCATCTCAAATTACCACCACCAGACCCTTCTTGGAACCCACCGCCACCGCCTAAATCCATCAAACATAACGCAGACCTACCACCCACCAAATTGTACCAACTTCTGAATCCTTGCAGACTTTGGTCTTTGTTATATTGTTTAGATACCTCAAATTGAGCTCACACCTCGAGTTGCTCAGAATCACTTCGTGGGTTATTGGGTTGAGGAACTCACTGCTGCCTATGGATCTCGGGCTGCAGCTCGGTGGCTTCTCCATGTGCCTCTTGCTTCCATGGATGACATCTTTCAGATTGGCTATTGACCTTGAACACCCGGACCTCCCACCACCAGCTTTTCTGGTCAAGATTGTGCTCAATTGCTTCATGGATTTTGGGTCGTGCACATCTGCTGGCTCTGATTTGCAGTGCAGAGATTTCTTCAGTGAGAACCACACTGTTGACATGCTTCTTTCTCGCCGCACCACCAGCGACCGCCGTCGTTGACGCTTCAAGGGTAGTCGAGCAACTGTCCGAGACGAACAACAACCATGGGATGGGAATGACCGTTGCATCTTCGCTATTTGGGTCGAAACCAACGGAGATTAAAGCTGTCATTGCGCCACCATGGCCATCACCATCAATCGACGACCTCCTGTTGGCTCCAATGGAGCCCACGTCATTGGCCACCGCGAGAGGAGAGCCGCAATCCACGATAGCTTCCTTGGCGACGAGGCCGCGTGGATCGCCGACGGAGGCGGGAGAGGGAGCGACGGACTGGGCACCGATTGTGCAGCCGACCGCCCAGGTGCCCGTGGAGATGAAGAAGGGGGAAACGGAGCCGGCGTTGAGCGCCCGGGTTGTCTCGCTGGATTCGGTGGTTGAGAAGGAGGAGTCGCTGCTGGGAGTGGAGTCGGAGAAAGAAAAGGACTCACAGGTCGATGAGGAGAGGATCCGCACGGCGGATTAGAGCGCCAGATCTGGAGTTCTCGCGGGCGGGCGGGCAGCATGGGAGAGTCAGAGTTTGGGCGACGCCGTTGGAACGCATGTTCCCTTCGACGAACTCGTCATGCCGCCGTCGACGGTGGTGGTCGTGAAGCTCTGCTGCAAACTGGTTTGAATCGGCTTCGGCGCCGGAAGAAAGAGGAAGCGAAGAGATAAAGAAGCAGAGATCTGATAGGGTTTGAGGTCTTTGTTTATTTTATTTTAATTTCTAATTTATTATTTTTAGTGAGTTCTCGTTTTTACCCCTGTTGTTACTATAACAACACTATGGGTGTTGTTATAGTATCCGGACCCTTTCCCCCACGTCCGCATTCTCACCCCTCTGTACACCGCCCCGCCGCCGAAGTTGTCGTCTCTCGCTCGCTTCAGCTTCAGCTTCATCTTCTTATTCACCCGCTTTTCATTGAGGTTGTTGGTGACCACGCTGCAGGCGGAGGAGCTGGTGGAGCACGGTGAATCAAAATCGGCTGCCATTTTCCCCATTTTTTTTCGTGAACGAGAGAGAGGTTAGATGTTCGTTCGACGTGGAGGGTGAAGAGGGATGGCTTGTATTGAGAAGAGCAAATGAAAGGCCAAAGTTTGAGTTATGAGAGAGAGGGGAGCGTATTTATAGAGGAGAAATTATTAGATACACCCACCGGGAGCCGCCTGTAGCTGCTCCTGACGAATCAAATTGTGACACGTGTCCAAAATTTGTCGGGTTGCCGCCTGTAGCTGCAGCCAGTCGTCTACGTGTTGCCTAGTGATTGGGCACAATTACAATTCTTTTTAATTGCTAGCCGAAGCAAAAGGTGCAGGGGACGGAACGGATTAAGCTTCCGTCAATTTCTATTTTTTCATTTGGGGATTAATTCCAAGGCGTTGAAGCTCTCAAGTAATATAGCCTGCATTAATTATTTTTACTTTAACTTTTAGATTTAGCTCTTTATTATTTACCATAAGGAAAGCGATAACTTTGGATAGTATGTATAAGAACATAATTCTAAAACTATTCCTATCGATGCAATTGTAATACTGATTACACATGTTGTTATTATTGTCACTTCACAATCTATCTAATCCAACTCATATTCATTTTATTACATAACATCAATGCAATTCAGTTGCAATTGATTTTTTAAAATTTAGTGAAAAATATAAGTCATTCAATATGAATGGTGCGATTTAATATTATTTTTATGTATTATTCCTTACAACTATTTATAAGAATAATTTAAGGAAAATAATATTTCAAAATTAAATAATCCTATACTTAAGAAAATATAGATGTTGTCAATCTTATGCACAATTTAAATGAGCATTTGTTAGACTAACCACAACTCGGAGGCAAAAAAACTAGGAGCAAAAAATCTACAATAGCCATTTACCCTCCCGAAAACCTGTGTAAATGAGCATTTGCATAAAATAATATATTGCTTCAAGAAATCATAGAATCAAATTTCTCCGACTATACTAATAATTGAACTTTCTCCGACTATAAGTCATTCAATATGAATGGTGCGATTTAATATTATTTTTATGTATTATTCCTTACAACTATTTATAAGAATAATTTAAGGAAAATAATATTTCAAAATTAAATAATCCTATACTTAAGAAAATATAGATGTTGTCAATCTTATGCACAATTTAAATGAGCATTTGTTAGACTAACCACAACTCGGAGGCAAAAAAACTAGGAGCAAAAAATATACAATAGCCATTTACCCTCCCGAAAACCTGTGTAAATGAGCATTTGCATAAAATAATATATTGCTTCAAGAAATCATAGAATCAAATTTCTCCGACTATACTAATAATTGAACTTTGAAATTGGTGTCTACTCCCATTCTTATATCCAACAATAAGTGAAAGTATTTTAAGTAAAATAAGTATTGCAGGCTATATTACTTGAGAGCTTCAACGCCTAGGAATTAATCCCCAAATGAAAAAATAGAAATTATTGGATCATTCTTATATCAATTTCGCTCATATTTTACTATTCATAAAATTCCTAGAACCAACAATCAAACCATCATATTATTGGATCAAACTCAAATGTCAGTTTGCTCCAACAAGATGATGTGCCTACCATAATAATGAGCACTTCTATTGTGCTATAAAGTATTGGTGTTTTAATATACAACTTAAAGTTGTACCATAACGTTAAATGTATAAGTTAAGGTTGTACCATAAAGGAATTTGTGCTTTGTGTCATGGTACAACTTTATAACTTAAACTTGTACAATCAAATGAAAGTACACGTTTAAGTTTTACCATAAAACAATTTGACAAAAGAGTATAGGTACAATCTGAAGTTGTACCATAACGTTAAAGGTACAACTTCTAGTTGTACCATTAAGGGAAAAACCTATAGCACCAATGCTATATAGCATTGTAAAATTCCTCTCCTCCCATAATAATACGAATATACCTTTTGCTTCGGTTAGCAATTAAAACGAATTGGAATTGTAATTGTGCCCATTTCGGTATATAAAAAACAATGAATTAGAAAATGCTGTAAGAAAGGAAATGTCACAATATTTTTTTTATCCATGCCAAAGTGATGGAAAAGAACGAATATCTTTTACTTATTCACCTAGTTTATCAACTTTTTTGGAAATGCTAGAAAAAAAGATGTCTCTGTTCAAAACAGAAAAATTCTCTTCTGATGAATTATATAATAATTGGAATTATAAGAATGAACAAAAAAAGAAAAACCTAAGTAATGAGTTTCGAAATAGAGTAGAAGCCCTAGATAAGGAATCTCCTTCTCTCAATAAACTTGAAAAAAAGACTCGATTTTGTAATCATGAAACTAAAAAAGAATATTTACCTAAAATATACGATCCTTTATTAAGCGGGCCCTACCGTGGAAGAATCAAAAATAAAATTTTCAGAAAAAATTATACGGAGATGTTTTGTATAAATAAAATTCATCTTCTCTTTATTATTAATAATAACGAATTTGAAGCAAAAACCGATGTATCTAATGGAAAATCGTTTTCAACCGAAATCGGTTATTTCTTAAACTTAATTAATGAATTTGCTGAAAAACCAATATCAAGTTTAAGTTTTGAGAGATTTTTTTTATTTCCGGACCCCAAAGAAAAGAAACTCGATTTAGAAAATGGGAGAAAAGTTTTCCAATTTGTATTTGCTAGAATTCTAATGGATCCCACCAAGAAAGCAAGTAGGAAAAAATATACTGGAATAAAAGAAATAAGTAAAAAAGTTCCGCGATGGTCGTACAAATTAATCGATACTTTGGAACAACAAGAGGGAGACTCTGAAGAAAGAGTGAGAGTGGATCATGAACTTCGTTCACGAAAATCCAAACGTGTAATAATTTTTACTGACAATCCACAAAATACTGATATTTATAATAAGAACAAAGAAACAACGGATGCTGATCAAATGGGCGAGGTGGCTTTGATACGTTATTCACAACAATCAGATTTTCGTCGAGACATAATAAAAGGCTCTATACGAGCGCACAGACGCAAAACTCCTATTTGGGAACTTGTTCAAGCAAATGTTCATTCTCCTCTTTTTTTGGACAGAATAGACAAATCTTTTTTTTTTTTTTTTCTTTTGATATCCCCGAACTGATGAAAAGAAGATTTAAAACGTGGATGTGTAAAAATACGGAATTCACACTTTCAAATTATACAGAGGAAAAAAAAAACAAAAAACAAGAGAACAAAAGAGAAGAAGACAAAAGAGACGAAAAAACCCAACTAGAGATTGCTGAGGCCTGGGATAGCATTCTTTTGGCTCAAATAGTAAGAAGTTGTGTTTTAGTAACTCACTCGTTTCTTAGAAAATATATTTTATTACCTTCATTAATAATAGCTAAAAATATCATTCGTATACTATTATTTCAATTTCCTGAATGGTCCGAGGATTTTACGGATTGGAAGAAAGAAATGCATGTTAAATGCACTTATAATGGAGTTCCATTATCCGAAAGGGAATTCCCAAAAAACTGGCTAACAGAGGGTATTCAAATAAAGATACTATTTCCATTTCGTCTGAAGCCTTGGCACAGATCAAAGATCAAATTTTCTCATAAAAATCCAATCAAAAAGAAAGGCCAAAAAACATATTTTTGTTTTTTAACAGTTTGGGGGCTGGAAACGGAACTCCCCTTTGGTTCTCCCCAAAAACACCTTTCACTTTTTGAAGTTTTCTTTAAAGAACTCGAAAAAAAAATGAGAAAATGGAAAAAAAATTCTTTTCGAATTTTAAGAATTTTTAAAGAACGCAGAATTTTTTTTTTTACTTTTTCAGAAGAAAGAAAAAACTGGTTCGTCAAAAACTTTTTATTTCTACAAGAAATACTAAATAAACTTTCCAAATTAAAAACAAATCCAATTAAAAAAATTCCAGTTGGAGAAGTATATGAATTAAAATTAACTGAAACTCAAAAAGAAAAAGGTTCGATAAACACTAATTGGATAATTAAAAAATTGTCCCCTCAAATTCAATCTAGAGATTCGAAAAATTCTTCACTGACAGAAAAAAAAATGAAAGATTTGACTGCTAAAATAAACACAACCAGAAAACAAATAAAGAAAATAAAAAAAAAAAAGAAAAAAAAATCGCAAATCTCGAAAAAAAGTTATAATGCTAACAGCTTAAATTTAAAATCATTAAAAAGGATATTAAAAATACGAACTGGCCAATTAGTGCGTAAATACCGGTTTGTTATAAAACTTTGGATTGAAAAGATATCCAGAGATATCTTCTTAGGTATCATTAATATTCCGAAGGTCACTTCGCATTTCTTTCTTCAATCCCCAAGTCAAATTTTTGATAAATTCATTTTCAACAATGAAAAAAATGGCAAAAGAATTGGTAAAACAAATCCAAATACAATTCACTTTATTTCGATTATAAAAAAATTAGTTAATATTAATAAAAGCACTCTTGGCCTTATTAGTAAGAATTCAGAACTTTTTTGTGATGTAGTTCCCTTGTCCCAAGCATATGTATTTTATAAATTATCAAAAACGCAAGTGATTCACTTATATAAGTTAAGATCTGTCCTTCAATATGACGGAACCTCTCAATTTGTGAAGAATGAAATAAAAGAGTTTTTTGAAACACAAGGATTACTTCATTCCAAATTAAAAAGTAAGAATTTGGAAAATTTTTTAATGAATGAATGGAAAACCTGGTTAATAAATCATTATCAATATAAATACAATTTATCTAAAATTAAATGGTCTAAACTAATACCCCAAAAATGGGGAAATAGAATCAACCAATGCTCTACTGTTCAAAATAAGGATTTAGACAAATGGAATTTTTCTGAAAAAACCCAATTAAGTCAGTATGAAAAACAAAAAAAATTGGGATCGGACCCATTAACGAACGAAAAAGATAATTTGAAAAAACACTTTAGATATAATCTTTTATCATATAAATCTCTTAATTATGAAGAAAATTCCAATACAGAAAAAGGACATTTTTTTGATATGTTCTCTATCAGTAATTCTCTAGCAGAAGACGCTATTTTGGATATTGAGAAAAGACCAAATCGAAAATATTTTGATTGGAAAATCCTCCATTTTTGTCTTAACAAAAAAGGCGATATGGAGTCCTGGGTTGAGCTTGGAACCAAACAAAAAGAACATACGAAAAGCGGAACTAATAAATATAATAAAATTGATACGAAAGATTCTTTTTTTCTTACGATTCCCCAAGACCAAAAAGTCACCCCATCAAATGAAAAAAAAAAAATTTTCGATTGGATGGGAATGAATGACGAAATGCTAAATTTTTTTATATCCAATTTTGAACTTTGGTTCTTTCAAAAATTTGTTATACTTTCCAACGCATATAAGAGGAAACCCTGGGTAATACCAATCAACTTACTTCTTTTAAATTTAGAGGTAAATGCAAATGGTAATGAAAAAAAAAAAATCAACGGAAAGACAAATGAGAATTTGATTATATCTCGGAATAAAAAAACATGGATTGAAGTAGAAAAGCTCGACTACGACGAAAAAGAACCCCAGGATCAAGTGGATTTTGGATCAGTTCTCGCAAATGAAGAAAAAGTGATGGAAGAAAATTTTGGTGAATCAACTATGAAAAGTAGAAAGAAAAACCAAGATAAAAGTAATAGGGAAGCAGAGCTTGATTTCTTCCTAAAAAGGTATTTACGTTTTCAATTACGATGGGAGGATTCTTTAAATCAACAAATAATTACTAATATTAAAATCTATTGTCTTCTGCTTAGATTGACAAATCCGCGAGAAATTCTTCTATCTTATGTTCAAAGAAGAGAAATCAATCTAGATATTCTCATGATTCAAAGGGGTTTAACTCTTACAGAATTGATGAAAAAGGGAATTTTGATTATCGAACCCGAGCGTCTGCCGGTAAAAAAGAATGGAAAATTGATTATGTATCACATGATAAATATTTTATTAGTTCATAAGAACAAACAAAAAATGAATCAAAGATACAAAGAAAAAAATTATGTTAATAAAGAGAAATTTCCCGAATCTATTGAACGGGATCAAAGTAGAATTGGAAATATAGAAAAAAAAGATTATGATTTACTTGTTCCTGAAAATATTTTATCCCCTAAACGTCGGCGGGAATTGAGAATTCTAATTTCTTTGAATTCAAAATCAAAAAAAAATAATGCTATTCATAAAAATATAGGAATTTTAAACAATAAGAACCTAAAACATGATTGTCACATTTTGAAACCTTTTGATAGAAAAAAAGGGGGGGGGAACTAATTTAAAGTTTTTTCTTTGGCCTAATTATCGATTGGAAGATTTAGCTTGTATGAATCGTTATTGGTTTGATGCCAATAATGGCAGTCGATTCAGTATGGTAAGGATACGGATATATCCACGATTGAAAAGTCGATAAGGGGGTTCATATCTTCATATATATATATATTTGAAAGCCTGTCTGATCTAGTATATAAAAAAATGTCCACATCTATTCTTTTCCATTCCATATTCCAGAGGAAGTGAAGCTTAGTCGAAGATTAATTAATATGTATATCAAATAAAAATGAACTGACATTATTTTATTTATTATTACTGATCAAAAAAAATATCTCACACAAAAAAGAAAAAACAAGAAAGAGGGGATTTCTTTGTATGATAAAAAATGCATTCATGTCAATTATTTCACAAGAAGAAAACCGGGGATCGGTTGAATTTCAAATAGCACATTTTACTAATAGGATACGAAGACTTACTTCCCATTTGGAATTCCATAGAAAAGACTATTTATCGCAGAGAGGTTTACGTAAAATCCTAGGAAAACGCCGACGACTGCTATCTTATTTGGCAAAGAAAGATAGAGTACGTTATAAAGAATTAATTAGCCAATTGGCTATTCGGGAGTCAAAAACTCGTTAATTGGGGGGATTTTTTGAATTATTTGATTTATTAGATTATATCTTGAATTTTAATGAGCTTCTTTTAGTTTTAAGGAATTCATGGACGAATGAAGCGAGGAAACCTCTATGAATGTACCGTCTCCAAAAAAAGACCTTATGATAGTTAATATGGGTCCCCAGCACCCATCAATGCATGGTGTTCTACGACTTATTGTTACTCTAGACGGTGAAGATGTTATTGACTGTGAACCGATATTAGGTTATTTACACAGAGGAATGGAAAAAATTGGGGAAAACCGAACAATTATACAATATTTGCCTTATGTAACACGTTGGGATTATTTAGCTACTATGTTCACAGAAGCAATAACAGTAAATGGACCAGAACAGTTGGGAAATATTCAAGTACCGAAAAGAGCCAGCTATATCAGAGTTATTTTGTTGGAGTTGAGTCGTATAGCTTCTCATCTGTTATGGCTTGGCCCTTTTATGGCGGATATTGGTGCACAGACTCCCTTTTTCTATATTTTTAGAGAAAGAGAGTTAGTATATGATTTATTCGAAGCTGCCACTGGTATGAGAATGATGCATAATTTTTTTCGTATCGGAGGAGTAGCAGCTGATCTACCTCATGGCTGGATAGATAAATGTTTGGATTTCTGCGATTATTTTTTAACAAGAGTTACTGAATATCAAAAACTCATTACGCGAAATCCTATTTTTTTAGAACGAGTTGAAGGGGTAGGGATTGTTGGCGCGGAGGAAGCAATAAATTGGGGTTTATCAGGACCAATGCTACGAGCTTCCGGAGTACAATGGGATCTTCGTAAAGTTGATCATTATGAGTCTTACGACGAATTTGATTGGGAAGTTCCGTGGCAAAAAGAAGGAGATTCATTAGCTCGTTATTTAGTCCGAATTGGTGAAATGACGGAATCCATAAAAATTATTCAACAGGCGTTGGAAAGAATTCCGGGAGGTCCCTATGAAAATTTAGAAACCCGACATTTTGATAGAGAAAGGGATCCTGAATGGGACGATTTTGAATATCGATTCATTAGTAAAAAAACTTCCCCTACTTTTGAATTGCCTAAACAAGAACTTTATGTGAGAGTTGAAGCCCCAAAGGGAGAATTGGGGATTTTTCTGATAGGGGATCAGAGTAGTTTTCCTTGGCGATGGAAAATTCGTCCACCAGGTTTTATCAATTTGCAAATTCTTCCTCAATTAATTAAAAGAATGAAATTGGCGGATATTATGACAATACTAGGTAGCATAGATATTATTATGGGAGAAGTTGATCGTTAAAATGATAATTGATACAACCGAAGTACAAGCTATCAATTCTTTTTTCAGATTGGAAGCCTTAAACGAAATCTATGGAATTCTATGGATCCTTGCCCCTATTTTGACTCTTGTATTGGGAATTACAATAGGTGTACTAGTAATTGTATGGTTAGAAAGAGAAATATCTGCGGGGCTACAACAACGTATTGGACCTGAATATGCCGGTCCTTTGGGAGAGAACGGAGAAACGACGAAAGAAGGCAGGGCGGGATTAGTACAGGATTCGTCCTATTAAAAAAAAAAACTCAAGAGGGTGAAAAGGGTGGGAGGGATCCTCAAATGGCAAGGCGATGTGCCCTACAATTTTGGGTTCCCTAGCTGGCACAAGACCATTATTCTTCCTATACCGTGTGAGTTCTTTTTTTTCCCGACAATGGTGAGTGAGTGTACTCTAGTACTCTACCGTGTTCTATGTGTGTTGACACTCACCACTCACCATTAGGGCTGGGCAATGGACGAGTTGGGTGGATTTTGGTCTAAATTGACCCACCCGCTTACTAGCGGGTTGGAATACATGTGACCTGCAATCCACCCACATACTTATGCGAGTCGGGTTGGGTGGGTGGTGGATGAGTGCGGTTGGGTCGTGGGTTAACCCGCAAAAGCAATTCTCCAATAGCCATTAAGAAAATTGACTAACATTTATAATAAATTCATAGCAAATTAGTAAGATTGTATCAATAATTTGTGATTTTGATACAATTAATAATTTATTGTTTGTATCACATTATTTAATGGATATTAACAATAATTTGCATACCAATATCCAATATCCAATGGATATTGCAACACAATAACCAATAACAGTAGTCAAAACTATTCTTTATTCTCCACCTTTTGAAGTATATGGTCAGACTGTAGTGCAGTTCGAAAATATGATGAATATTTGATACTATAAGAAATAATATTTTCCATGTAAAAATAGGACGCGGGTCATACGGATTTTCCTCCATCCACCCACATAAGTGCAGGTGGGAGATTTAACAATCCGCAATCCACCCATATCAATACCCACTGTATGTGGGTCAGGTTATTTGCGGGTGGATTGATATCAATCCGCGGATTAACCACCCACGTGCTCACCCCTACTCACCAGAATGTGCCGCCTGTGTTAATAAGCATGTGGGGTTGTTGGTGTCAACTGATTTATGGTAAATGAAGACAAGCGATTTACGTAGTTTCCAGTATTATGATGGAGCGGTACAGATTAGTTTTCGAGTTGTGACTGATACTGTATATAGATAATTGTAAGAGTACGACTTAAATGACTCGATATAGATGAATATTCAACAATCCAAGCACCTGCTCCAACATTGATGGTGATCTTGAAGCATCAACTTGCAAGAGGGAAATCAGTGTTGACTAGTAGTGAAGGTATTCATAAAATTATACACTACTTAGTCATTGGACTTGAGATAATGGAGCTGGACAGTACCATCACACACCAAATCTTGAATATAGTGAAAATGGATATAAATGTGCTTGGTACGGTCATGAAGGATAGGATCGGCAACAATTCGAATAACATTAGTGTTGTCGACATAAAGATCCATGGGCACCTAGCAAGCAACACCCAAATCACCAAACAGACGTTGAATCCAAACCATCTTAGACCCTTCAGACATAGCTCGATGTTCGGCTTCAATATATAGCTTTGTAATATTGTCTTGCTTCTTACACCACTAGAAAATGAAGGCCTCTCCAAATATCATACAACATCCAGTAGTAGACTAACTCGCACGAAACTACACCGCGAATTAATCCCGACTAGAGCCCAAGTTTTTAAACTCTAGCCGGGTGCAGTATAAGGCAAGTATTTATTTGTCAAACCCTGGCTGGACCATGTGCCCCTACTTCAATCGCTTAAGTTGTTATCTAGCAAAACAATTATGGGTTTAAAACTATGAAAACTACAAATGAAAACAAGCAAGTAAGGTAAAATGGGTGGAAAACTCTAAGTGAGGAGCTTCACTCGGGTGTTGCTTTCCTCTAACCAACTACCAAGAACCGTGGGATTGAATGAAGCGGCATGTGACGAGGCAATTGTCACCCATTGGAGGTGGAAAAATAGTTGGAAACCATTCTCCCAATCGCTAGGCCAAGGAAGGGGTCAAAGGCTACAATTGTAGCCCTCTTGGCCCAAGCAATTTAGGGTTGACTTATCTTCTCCCTCAAACCAAGGGTTTGGATGATATAATCACAATTAACCCAGATGTCTAATTCAAGCTTAGAGGTTTGCCCTTAATTAACCTAGAATATAAGACATTGAATGCCCAAGGAAACCCATCTCTAAAAGAGCCTCTTAACCAAAAGAGGTCTCCTCTCTAAGCTAGGTTACAATGGCAATTAGATTGATAGGCTTTCACACAACGCAATCAATCATGAATAATACCTCAAACCTTAAATTAAACACCTCCATCACACAATCATTCTATCCACACAATCAATTACATGATAGGAGTTAGGGTTCTACAACAGCCAAGTGAAAAAATGAAACTAGTCCATGCTAGATAAAGGAAAAACACAAAGGAAGAAGAAAGAAACCATCATTGTGATGCCTCCAACCCTCCTTGTGCTTGTAGAACTCCTCCTTGGGAGATGATCTTCCAAAATATTCATTTGGAGCAAACCCTAGCCTTCTCTCCCTCTTGGTTCGTCACTTTTTCTCTCTAAGGTTTCAAGAAGAAGGATCTCCCCCATTTGGGGCTCCCCCTCTCTCTTCCTTTCAGCTCACATTATATACTTAGATTGAGCTCAATTCACGGCTTCAGTTCATAGCCGTGAACTTGGAGTGCTGTGTCGAAACGTACTGCTTCACTCACTTGAGTTCACGATTTGCACTTAAAGTTCACGTTCTTAGTGACCGTGAACTCACTCGGCGTTAGTAACTTCAGAATTCGCCCTGACGCTTTGCGATTCACAGTTTATGGCTCCAGTTCACGGCCTTAGAGGCCGTGAAATCCAATGCCAGACCGTAAACTGCAGCTGATTCTTGGACGCCCACGCTTCGGTGTTACGGGGCAATTGTCACGATTT